CGAGCTGGCACTGTAATTTAACGCCGGTATCGCGCACACATGTTCAGATGCAACTTTCGTTCGATTTGTTGCATTTTTTCGACGCGACGTCCCACAAAGTGCACCTTCGCGGTCAATCGAACAGAAACACTCTCATCTTTACGGTCTTGGGCCATCGAAATTGTTTGACACTCAACGAATTGAAAAAGATAATATAAATGCAGATAGAAATTTATAACAAAAAATTATAAATTAAAAAATATGAACGGAAATTTAGAAAATGTAACCAAAAGTAAGAGTAGATAAACAAATTATGTTCAAGTGGACATAAAGAAATATATTTGTTTATATTTAACGTCAGAAGATTTTTCCAAAAAATAGCACCTTTGCACGAATATAAAAAGGAAGGATTATTCGAATTCGCAAAAAAAAAGTTATCATATATCGAACAAGACAAAAAATCATTCTGCATAGAGTACTTTATATTTTGTTAATCGCATGAGAAGTTCTTTTAACGTGAATATAAACTTGATGTAAACGTGATTTAGACGTGATATAAACTTGCGCAAAAGCTTTCAGAGTTCTCTCTCTCTCTCTTTCTCACTCTCGTGTCCACAAGGTTTGCTTAAAATCGCAAAACGTCATAGAAGTATAGAGTGACGAGTATGTCCGCGACAGAAACGAGTTTAATACACTCGAAATATTTCGCGGCCGCGACGAATTATTCGCTGAATTATTCGCGGCGACGAGGCGTCACGTCGAGTGCCGGTATGTTCGATATAAATTGACAGGCGACACGTGGAACAATTGCGTCACACACGTGCATACGTATACCGGCGCACTCTCGCGCGGGATGACGTTCCGTTAAATGCTTTTTCAGAGAGGAAACGACGCCTGTACGTGAAACTATCGACCTCTTCTAACGCGCGCGCGGCTATCGATATTGCATCGCGTACATACGCGCGCAAGAAAAGATACTTCGCCTAAGGCTTTCTTCTCGTCGAATCAGTGAGAACAAAAGAAGAGAAGGCGATGTCTCGGAAATATTTCCCATCATTACTTCGACTTATTTCCCGAATAATTTATAGTGCATGTTTTCTTTTTTTTTTTTAATAACGAAAATGTTGAAACATTAATAATCTATAAGCTCGATAATCATTTTCATAATAATTTCATGACGCTTTAGATTGTAATGTCGCAGTTTTCATCAAATGGCGGAAATGGAATTTTGCCGCTTTAAATTTTGCAAATAAACGATACGCGCATCCTTTAAAAGATGCATGTGCGAGTTGAATTCGACACTCAAAATTGCATAGCAAAATTGCAAAATAGCAAACACACGTATCATCCTTCTACTTCATCCGCAATGTTTTAATTTAACAAAATCTGGGACAGAAATTTGAATGTGAGTTATTAAACAAGTACGTGATTAAATATTGTTATTCAGTTAAAAAAAATTAACGCTACTTAAAAAATAAAAATTTAGCAAATTCTTGTTATTTCTGTCGTTTTAAACACATTATTAAGAAAGGTATTTTAAATGTATAGCGTCGCAATCAACGACCTACTACGTCGAATTTAACGGAATACTTCAATTACCCTTTTTTTTTCACAGCGTCTGCAATTGAAGGAGAATTCTTAAGAAACTTTCTAGCCAAAGTAGACATTATTATGCGCCAGCATTGTTATGGAAATTACGCTGCTACGTTTTCAGTCATCATAAATCATTGTGATTATTTATCTCAACTATTTATCGATATTGGTTCTAGGCTCTGCAGCTTATATCGCCTCGCTCTTACTTGACATTGTCAGAAAAATTGAATGACTTGCACACTGATGGTGTGCGCGTCTTTATAAAAGTTGCCGTTTATCTAAACGTACATCAGTATTCATGTTTCCATATGAAAAGATGGTGGACGCGATCGTGCAAGGAACACGGACATTCCAGAATTGCGATAAGTTCGTCGTTCCGGTGTCTTCTACGCACAAAGGACATTTTGCCGAGCCTTTAGAGCTCTGGAAAGTCGGACGATATCTGTGACGAGAAGTCAGTGAACGCAAAGATCCATTTGTGGATACAAAACTCGCGATCGGATATATTTTCTTTTCGTCACTTAAAATCCTCGACATCTCATAATTAAACTTCGATTTCTTAATTATTCGCAAAGATTTAAGCAAGTTAAATTGCTGTAAGTTGAAATTTTTATTTTTATAATAATTAAAATAACATTGTTTTCGCGAGTTGTGCAAATTAATCAATATCCGTTCAGACAAACACATTGTGTTATGTTATTGTGTACAAAAAGTTCGATAATTTTAATAAACATTTTCAAAGTTCAACGACCACTCCTTTCTAAAAATTCTCACGGGAAAATTCATAGTTGATCCCCGCTTCGATAATTGCTGTCTAGAGGCGGTGATTACACAAGTCATCGTAGTGGCTCTCGGGTCGGTCACTGATCCACACCGGTGAGGATCCCTTCCGAAGAGGTAAAAGTTTATACCGTTACGAAAGAGCGTCGTCTCGCGCGCGCCCGCGCTCGGTCAACGTGCGCTTTTATAGAACCGGAAAGAGGCGCGCACATAGAAACGGAAGCTCAGAGAAGCAGGCAGCCTGTAAATTATTCCACGAGCTCCTTTTGTTCCACCCAAGACAAAAAGAAATATTCTGCTACATTGGCACGATTGCGTGCTATCGCACGATTTTTGCTTATTGTGGAAAAGGCTCGTTAATCTTTGAATGAAAATTCCGGACCGAGAAAAAGCCGTCTTTGTCGACGGCACGAAAAACTCATTTCAAATGATGACGCACGTCTACCTAAGCGTTTGGCGACGTTTTAGGACTACGGGTTAGAATTTTATCAATTTCGTAGAAATTTTTCGAATTCTTTACACAAATTCTTTTAACAAAACAAAAATGTAAATTATGATGGTATAAGTAAAACTTTATACTTTAAAATTTTATTATAAAATCGTAAAACTAAAAAAAATGTAATCAGAAAACGTTTGAGGATTTTGGAATAAAATTTAATAAAAAAATAAGAAAATTTGGAATTTGAAATATTGATGTACTAAATCCGTTTCTTCGAAAAAAAATCACAAATGTTTATCTGTGTGACTATGTCATTCTTCCAAGGATTTGACATAATCGCCACGAATTTAATAATTAGCTTCTTCCGTTTAACTGAAATTGCTAGCGAAATGACGATCATTATGTAACAGTTATTACATGGTGACTTTTAAGTTTCAAGACGTGTGCACTTGTTAATTTATTAATTTATTCAAAAAAACTGCGCGTTCTGTTTCAATTTAAAAAATCAAAAATAATGGCAAATTGATGAGAATATTAACTGAATCACTTTTGTTCAATCGCTTCTCTTTTTGCGAGTGTATTGCAGTATTTGTTGCACTGACAATAAATGATGATATCGATCGATGATGTGCATTGCGATTAATTGCATGCAATCGGAATTTTTCATTGTCGTTTCCTATCGATGCAACAAAAGACAATGTTCAATTTGTTTTGAATTGTTGTCGTCTGAAAATTCTGTTATTTACTTTGTGTTATAATTTTTTCATTTGACACTGTTATAATTTTTCTGTTATATAAACGCAAATTATTTTTTATATATGTATAAAATAATAAACTACTAAACAGCAGTACTAAAAAAAATTAGGTTGAAGAATATTTTTGTTATATGACAATGTAAGTAATTAATTAATTATTAATCTTAATTTGTAGAAAAAGTGCTTAAAAAGCGCATTTAAAATTAATTTTTTGCAAAATTATGTTTAATAATTTTCAAGAAACAATCGCTACACGACTAAAGTGTGACTAAAAATTAATCCTAATGCGCTAAGAATTTTTCCTCGTATAGCATCATGGTATATTGAACTCACTCACGGGAGATTTCAATAGATTCAGCGTGCTCTGTCTCGTTATCGCGCTGCGTATTAACAATGCTGCGGAGAGAACAGCGTGGAACTAGCGATGTCGAGATCTAATCTAACAAATTTGCCTTGCAAAATGACAGAGTAGAGGAGGTAATTTGCGATTCTTACGATACAATCCATAAATAATAATCCCAATACATTGTACGCGCGGACAAATGTTAACTTTTAATCCGAATTCTATTTTCTTCTGACTTCTGAAATATTTTTTGCCCCAAATTTCTATTCTAGTATAACTTTTTCTCGACAACGGGATTTTATGGTCAACTGTTGGTGCAGGTGCAAGATGTATGTTGCCTGCCAGAAATTTCTTTGTTGGCCAAAGATTGCTTTGGGACGACATGACTCTGCATGACAATAGCTCAGGTAGAATCAGGTGCACAAAATATTCCGTAGGGCAACTTTCCCTCCCCATCTGTCAACAACTTTGTCCTTAGACTTACTCATTTATAGATCACTCGATATCGATCGATGCTCAATTTTATTATTGTTGCTATAACAATTATTATATCATTGAAAAATTCTTAATGACAATTCCGCAGCGATGACTCATCGCGTATCTTTCCGCGTGAATGAAGCCAGTCGCAAATTTCTCAATCTTGTTTAGTTTGAAATACAACCGGTCCTAATTATCTCTATCGTCAAATCGCTTGATTCTTGTCTGCAGATTAATTGTAATAATATATAGATTGTTACATCTTGACGAACTCAAGAATTTTAATCCTCGACCGAAGATGTACGATAGGATCTTTTAGACTCCACCGTGAAGCACTTATCGTGAGTCAGCTTGCAGATCAAAACGATTGCTCGATTTCGACTCGCGTTTGCATCCAGAATCCACCGTGAACCACAATTTCACGCACTACATCTCGATTTATTACAGTTAACTTTCTCGATCTAACATTCGGGCCTCACAACGGAGACTGTGGCCACGGATCGACGTAAGGTTAAAACGGTTTCGAATATTTTTATCAAGTTATATACGCCTGGACGCTCCAGGGGCCCGCGATTCAGCGACGCCCGCGTACCGCGATGGCGACCAGAAATCGCTTAAGGGGGGCTTGACTCACCTGCTACGATGTGTCGCGGCCGCATTTTCCGGCACCTAATCCTTTTCGGCTCCTTCTGCCACTCGTCTCTCTTACGCACTTGGCATCCTGGCGTTGGAGCCTCCGCGTTCTCTCCACTTTCGCTCGCAGTTGGCGCTGAAGAATAACTTTCTGCTCCGAGGCGCGTACTCTTCTTGCTGATCTTCACTGTTTCACCTTTGCACTCGCGCGCACACCAACTTCAACCGACGACGAACGCCCGCCGAACGAGACTGCGGACTGCACCGCCGCCACCTTCGTCACGATGGTGGCGGTGAACACCGCTGCCACGCTCCGCCGTGTCAGCCCCCCTCCTTTCGCCCTCACTACCGAGCATTGCAGCGTGAGTTACCTGGTTACCTGCCCGTTTACCTGCGCGCCAGGTACAAACGAGAAAACGAAAAAGTTAACCTTTCCGCAGTAGAGTTCTGCCGATCTTTAATCGAAGCGGTAAGAACTTCTCGCGTAACTGTAAAACATACGATGTTTCATAAACTTGTTATTCCTTTTTGAGCAACAAACAACAAATTATTCGAAATAATATTACGAGGAAAGTAACAAGTTACTTTAAAGGATATCATAGAATGAACGAATTCTTGGAAAATAAACGAAACATTCAAAAGAAGAACCGTCCAAAACATTTCGACTTTTCCGGCGGACTTTTTCTATGTTATTTGCGAATCGTATAACTAACGAGTATGTAACATATACAACATAATTTGTACTTACTGCGTTATGTTGCAATAATATCTTTAAATATTTATATTTTTATAATAAATTAACATATTACAAAATGGAGTGTACCGCCCGAAACGTTTGCGATGCGAACATAGGCGCCGGTGTGCGTGATGTAAGATAGGCGTGATTCACGCATGCGCCTCATGTTCGGCTAATGCACGATTCACATGCCTTCGTCATCTGACGCACGACATTTGACATCCAATAAAAACACTCATTTTATAGAGACTAATATGGCGTTGAAAAAAGTTTCTAGAAAATCCATTTTTTTTATTGGAAGTCGGTGTATTTGTATATCGAACATAGAACGTGAATCCGCCATAACTTTACCGTTCCTTTCCACGTCTCTGAATATCTTAAGTCGCCGCCGCTGCGAAAATGTCAGCTTGCTGGTGATGATTCACACTCCGCCTGTGGTGCGCGCGTCAATTGGCTCTCCGTCCCGTGCCACCGAGACGATCGACCGCGTTCTGCTCGACTTGCGAGCAGGTGAGTGAGATTTATACGCGTGCTTCATAAGTAGCTCGCCGCTCGCATCGCTGCGGATCACCGACGGTGGTCTGTTAACGAATAAGCGGCGAATCAGAGTAGGTTAAGTGCATTCGTATTGTGATATCGTGTCTTCGTCCATTAGTTCTCTTTTCTCGATATTAATTTTGGACGCCAGGCATGGATTAGTCTTTCTGTTTCTGTTTACGGCAACTATTTGAGATTTCATGATCGCCAAGTGGAATTCCGTTACCGTTGCACTCGTCAGGTGCACTTTCTAAAGTGTGACTCATAACAGCAGTTGATGAAAGGATAAAAAAGCAATAATGCCACTCTGGAAATCTGTCTAGTTTATCAGCAGTGAGAGCCTGCGATAATCCTCAGGTGATTGTGTTTGTAGTGGGCAGGATTGTAGATAAAAGCCTGACGCAGTTTATAGTTTCATTGTTCAATGTGTGTGAGTAAATATGTGAGAATGTCAGAGAGCAATTTGTAATCTTCTGAGTATGTGTCATCCTATAATTGGTATTAATTATAATGTATATAATAAATGTATGTGCTCTAAATTGCATTGAAAATAAGATGGAAAATTAAATTATAGTTACTTAACATCCCTTTGATAAAAAAATCTCATACTAAATAGATAATGGTTTGAATTTTTTACATGTTACAAATTCGAAGTTTTAATAAAAAATTTTGGAGTACAATCGAAAACAGTAAACAGCTTTTCAAATTTAACTTTGATTTTGATAGAATAAAATTCTAATTGAGTAAAATTAAAATATTTGCAAATTTGCTATTTTTTTTTGTACTCATTGATTGAGAATAATGAAAAATGCTTTCTTTAATTGTAAGATTAATATTTTCAGATATACAGTTTTTTAAATATAATTAAACTAATTCTAGATTTATTTTCAGAATTATTCTAAATTTTATATTTTTATATAGTATTATAATTTACATATGGTTTTTAAGGGAAAATATATTGAGAGAACAAAAGTACAATTAACTTTTTATTAGAGCAATCAAATTATTTGTATAAACTTTTAAAAATAATAGCTCATATTGATTAAGATTTAAAAATCTACAGCATATAAAATATATAAGAAATTTTATTGACAAATATGTTTTCATATATTTAGTACAAAATTTATTATTTTTAATGTGTTATTATATGCAATTTTTTCTGTTAATAATATATATATAATGTATCTGAATGAAAGCAATAAGTGAATTAGAGCAATATTAAAAAAATAAGAAATATATACAGGTTTAAATGATAAAATCAAATAAATAAGTTGTATGGAGCATAAAAAGCCACAAACGCCGGATCTTAGTGCGAAAAGTCATATAATCAAATTAAAAACATACAAATACAAATGTACTCTGTATTTGTATATGTTTTTAATTTGATTATATGACTTTTCGCACTAAGATCCGGCAGTTGTGGCTCTTTATGCTCCTAACAACTTATTTATTAGAGCAATATTATTTACACAATGATAAGAATAGCTATTAGGCTTGTACTATAAGAATATGTCAAAGACACAAAGTAATATTTGTTTGTTTTAATAAGAAGTATTATATTTCTATATAGGATGATGGAGGGACCACTGAGCCAAGGCGCTTCACCATCCAGCGGTGGCAACTTTCCAGCAAGTGGCAGTGGTGATCTCAATTCGTCCACCATAATGAGTCTAGATGAGAGGATACTAGACATCACGACACGGCACAGTACAAATGTCCTCAGGACACCTCCAACCAAGAAAGCCAAGAGAGTTCGATTCTTCCGCAATGGCGACAAGTATTACACAGGCGTGGTGATGGCAGTGACACCAGAGAGATACCGCAGCTTCGACAGTCTTGCGTCCGACTTGACGCGCGCCTTGGTATCAAGCGTGACCCTGCCGAACGGCGTTCGGTCGATTTACACTATGGACGGCCGCAAGGTGCAGAGTGTCAGCGATCTGGAGGACGGCAAGTGTTACGTGGTGTCCGGCCAGGGGGAGATTTTCAAGAAAGTCGAATACTCGGCGTCGAAGGTGCGCCGGGGAAGTTCTCTGTCCGGACTGCCACAGTCGCCTGCGGCTGGGAGCGGCAGTGGTGGTGGTACCGGCAGGCAGATCAACGCCATACCGCTGTGCGTGAAAGCGCGCATCGTGACGTTGATCCGCCACGGTACCAAGCCGCGCAAGGTGATGCGCCTATTGTTAAACAAGCGGAACGCGCCAAGCTTGGAGCACGCGATGGAGGCGATCACGGAGGCGGTGAAACTCGACTCCGGAGCGGTGAGGAAAGTGTACACGCTGTCGGGCCAACAGGTGACCTCGCTCGAGCATTTCTTCGAGAACGACGACATCTTCGTGGCTTACGGCCCGGAGAAGTCCGTTCAAGAGGACTTTGAGCTGGACTTCGAGGAGAGCAAGTGCGTACAGAGCTTCCGGCGATGTCCGTGGAGCTCTAAGCGACAGAGTGGTCCAATGCCGCGAATGCCGAAGAAGTCCGGCAAGAAGACACTCACCACACCGCAAGTCAGGACTCCCAGTCCTTCGTCCTTAATACTGCCGCAACCACTGAGATTACATTATGCTGTGGGACATGTCATTGGAGATGGAAACTTCGCTGTCGTTAGGCATTGCGTTCACAAGTGAGCATTTCAAAATTGGAATTTTTATTAATATCATTAATCAATTGACTTAAAATATAATTTAATATTAATTGTAAATGTACTTAATAGAGATATTTTTTTATTATTTACTTTAAAAGATACGCAAATATTAACATTTATTTCAGGTCTACCGGTGCTGAGTACGCTATGAAAATCGTGGATAAATACAAGTGTCAGGGGAAGGAGACGATGCTAGCAAGCGAGGTGGCAATCCTGAGACAAGTCTGTCATCCTAATATAATCAGCTTAATCGCGGAACAAGAAACTGCGGATCAACTATTTTTAGTCATGGAACTCGTCAAGGTGCATCATCGAAATTAAATAATATTGGGTGTACAAGTATGACTTTACGGATTTTCAATAGAATTGCATGCATAAGGCGTACTGCCGGCATTACATGAAACTGGCAATACATGTATTTAAAAGGTCTATATGTTAGCTTTCAAACGTAGTATATGTCATTTGATGGAAGTGCAAACAAATATTTTTTTTATCGCATTGAAAATGTCGAATTTTGTAACAAAATAACGTCATTTGCGAGAAGTTTTGCTTCATTATTTTTTTTTTAAAGAAAAGTACAGCTGAAAGTCATTGTTTGTTTGTGGAAGCTTACAAAGAACATGCTCCTTCGGTAAGCATGTGTGAAAAGTGGTTTAAACGATTCAGAAGCAATGATTTTGATTTGGATGATAAAGAGCATGGAAAGCCACCAAAAAAATTTGATGATGCAGAATTGGAAGCATTACTTGACGAGGATTCATGCCAAACAGATAAAGAATTGGCAACAGCATTAAGTGTTACCCAACAATGGATTTCCTTACGTCTGCATGCAATTATTCATTCATGGGAATGATTTAAAAGCAAGGAAATTGGGTGCCACACGAATTGAAAGAAGAAAAACTATGTGCGAATTATTGCTGCAACGACAAAAAAGAAAAAGTTTTTTTACATCAAATTATTACTGGTGATGAAAAGTGGATTCACTACGACAATCCTAAATACAAACCAACATGGGTTAAGCCAGGTGAACCAAGTCCATCAACGCCAAAGCGAAACATCCATGGCAGCAAGGTTATGTTGTGTATCTGGTGGGATATGAAGAGTGTGGTGTATCATGAGCTGCTGCAACCGTTTGAAACTATCACTGGTGAACGCTATCGACTACAATTAATACGTTTGAACCGAGCTCTGAAGGAAAAGCGATCGGAATGGGAGAATAGACATGACAAGGTGATTTTACAGCATGACGACGCCAGACCACATGTTCATGTATCGGTCAAGAATTATCTAGAAGGAGTGAACTGGGAGATTCTACCTCACCCGCCGTATTTACCAGACATTGCTCCTTCAGATTACTATTTGTTCCGGTCTATGGCGTCAGCTCTTTCTGGAGAGCGGTTTAATTCTTATGAAGAAATAAAAAATTGGCTTGATAACTGGGCCGCTTCAAAACAACCAGACTTTTACCAGTGTGGAATTTGTTTATTGCCTGAAAGATGGGCCAAGGTTGTAGCTTTCGATGGAGCATACTTTGAATAAAATAAAAATGATTTTTATGTTCCAAATCAATGTTTTTTTATCCAAAAATCTATCATGTTTGTCAAAGTCATACTTGTGCACTCAAACAGAATAATCAAATTATAAGTAAACATACATAGAAATAAGAAAAACATCTGTTTATTTTTCAGGGTGGAGATTTATTTGATGCAATCGCATCTGCGACAAAATTCTCCGAGGCGGAGGCCAGCGTTATGATCGGTCATCTGACTTCCGCCTTGGCTTATTTGCATTCGCATCATATCGTGCACCGCGACGTCAAGCCGGAGAACCTTCTGGTTGAGATGGACGGCAGTCACGTTAGATGCTTGAAACTGGGTGATTTCGGACTCGCGCAGGTAGTGCGAGAACCTTTGTACACAGTCTGCGGTACACCCACTTATGTGGCACCGGAAATACTTGCTGAAACTGGATATGGCTTGAAGGTACATCTGTTGCGATGTAAATTTATTAATCAAGAATGTCGATTAAAGTTATTTTTTTAAATTAATTAGAGAAAATATTTCTTTAAAAGCAAGATTAAGACTAAAAGAAAGAATAAGGAATTCCGAGCTAAATGTATTATTAGTAATGCGTTAGATATCTCTTATAATACTAATATGTACATTTTAAATAAATATTTCGTGCTTTTATTTTTAGATCGATGTTTGGGCGGCTGGAGTGATTCTGTACATTCTCTTGTGTGGCTTTCCGCCGTTTGTGTCGCTGGAGAACGAGCAGGAGGAATTGTTCGAGCGCATCCTGAGTGGCCAGTATGAATTCACATCTCCGTATTGGGACACTGTGTCGGATTCCGCGAAGCAGCTGATCTCCAATATGCTGCAGGCGCAGCCGGAGCTTCGTTTTAGCGCCGAGGATGTTTTGGACCATCCATGGCTCGCGGTAACTGTCACTGACATACAGTATTGTTATTGTATCTCACGAGTTAGAAGGAACATCCGCGTCGCCGCACTTGCATGGCTTACAATCCCTCTCCCACTTTCTCACAGTAACCGAAGATGGGGTTAATATCGGATGGTTCTTGTCTAAACGGCACGTTCGCTGTTGCACTTATTATTTTGGGCACGATTTCTTTCCAGCTCGCCATGCCACGTTAACACTGAAAGAGAGTTTAGCGGGTCTGTAAGAATTGGAATTCCGGTAACAAACGTATCGAGCATTGAATCTGTTGTGCAATTTAATTTATGAAAAAATTATATACATATTGTATACGTAGTATATTTTTTTTTAACGAGTTGTACTTATATAAATGCTATTATAAAGCTGAATTCGTTGTTGGAATTTCATACGCGTTAGACAGATTTTCCGTGTTGTGAGCGTGATGCGAGCGCGATCCGTCACACTTCCCTACGCTTCGTCGGCTTTTCTCGATCACAACACTAAGAAAGCTTTCGTAGTGGTTTGCTGTATCTGTAGCGGTGCTTTTTCTTTTCTTTTGTCCCGCCTCTGTATATCAGCAGAGCTTTCTAGGAGGCGAACAGACCGCAGACACAGCCGCTGACTCATCGGCGGAGCAATACCGGGATCAGCAGCGTAAGCCGATAAGATTGGCCACGTTCGAGTTCGATTTCAAGAAGCAGCGCGGCGAGAAACAGGACGATGCCAAGGTGAGAGCTGACTGGGCGAACAACGTGGATCATCGCGAGTCTAACAAGACTCGGGGGAAATCGAATGAGCGGCACGGCGACGAGATTGACTACGCCAATGGCAATCGCACCGCGGACGAGTCTGTCTTTATCAGCTCCGAGTGCCTGAGAGACATCAACAGCCTCAGCCGATCGATGCACGACCTGATAGATAATCTGAATGACAACAGAGTGCCGCGGCGTCGTCTCAAGTCACGAAGCACCAACTCATCACTCAACAGCATTCCGGAGAACCTAAACTCGTACAATTATCACAGCAGTTCGCTGAATCATTGTGACGAGATCGTTGAAAAGGCTGCCGCGACTCCCAGGAGTCATCAAAGGGACCTGAAGAACGGAAATTTGCTGAACAAAGCAATATACGAGACGCCGAAATCGTCGAGCAAGCCCGCCACTGCGAACGGACAGAATAATAAATATAACCGGAAGAACTTGTACGACGCAAATCGCGGCGGGGGCAGGTTCGACAGCGACGACTTTCGCAACAGCAATGCGACCGTGTCGACGTCGAGCGGCAGCTTGACCGGCGACAGTTCGACCGGCAACGACATCGAGACCTCCGACAGCTTCGTAAACATTCAATTCGCGCGACTGGCGCGCGGACAAAAATCGAGCTCGACGCAGAGCATGGAGTCGACCGACAGCTTCGAAAACGTTAGCTTCCAGTACGCGAATCAGAACAACTGCCACGCGGATCGTTCCTCGCAGATTCCTTTGAAACTCGCGGGCAGTAAGGATCAGAACAAGTCTGTCGCGAAGATGCTGCAGAGCCGAATCGTCGCGTTGAACGTGTCAAGGTTGCCGAGGCTGGACAATCATCCTGACAAGAACTGCGGCAACCAGAAAATTCAAGAAACAAATAAGAACGCGTGCGCGAAGGACGAGCCGGTGAAACTGCGTCACGAAAGGTACATCAACAGAAAGGTTCAGATAGACTCTAGAAACGTCCGAAGCAAGAGATACAGCTGCTTCACGCCTTGCGCAACGAACAAATCGCCCGAGGAGATCTGCGGCAACAAAGTGGCGACACGGAAGTTCAATTCGACGGACGAATTGCGCGACGAGGTGAGGCAGAAGCCGGCGACGCGGACGAAGCGGTTCAGCTTGTACTACACGCCGCAGCCGTCGAGGAAAACGTACGAAGGTGAGCCGAAGGCCGGTAGAGTTGTGTGCAAGTCGGCGGCTCGCGTGCACAAGTCCGAGATAAGCAAGGGGAAGGACAGAGAAGAAGCCGAGAGAGTGGAGAAGGTAGATAAGAGCCGGAGATCGGTGATTGACGCGTCGACGGTCGCCAGCAGGGGCAAATCCAATAAGCAGAACGTTCATGTGAGGCCGAACACAGTGGTGAACGCGAACAGGATAAAGTGATGACGAGGGTTGAGGTGATTGCTCATCGAGAGTGTGCGGACATCTAATCGCTGACGCCGCGACCGGTCCGCGCTGAAAGTGTCCGATGTTCAGCGCTCCGAGAGTGAAGCACTGGTTACGGCGACAGTGTCAACACTCCAGCGACACGCAAGACTGTCTTCTTCCTGATCACCGCGTACGTGCATTGAGAAAAGTTCCGCGCTGCTTTGAATTTTCTTAAATTGCATTTGGGGAAATAAGTGGGAGTGACACTAACATTTTGCGAAGACAGAACCGATCTGCTTATTTCTTAGATTTTGGATTCCAATCAACAACGTCAACGAAAAGTATTATAACAATTGAGCTATGATTTTTTTAGCTACAGTTTTTTGTATTTTTAACTGTATGTAATATTTTTTTCTCTTTCTGAAAACTTGTCAGTTACGAAAAGTAGAAAGAGAGAAGCAATAGATTAATAAATACAGAACTGCAATGAATTAGAATTTTACAATACTTTTTTGGAGCATATAAAATAATATGATTGTTGAAAAAAATGCAGTTATAATACTTTTCATTGATCATCGAGTGTTCCGTAGATTACCTAATGTGAAATAGTAGCACATGAGGTGATGCAAAACTTTTTTAACTGCGCATATATTTCCATAGAGTTTCTGCTAAAAGATTGAATAACCGAGAGAGACCAAAGACGGGCAAAGTATGAGATTTTTCATGAAGCGTAAAGTCGGATTTAAATTCAGCCTGCAAAATTTACGTTTATACCAGTGTCAGCTTCTGGAATCTGGACCTGCTAGCAATTAGTATTTACAATTCGTCCTTTATAGATATTGTCCTTAGCTGGTAAGAGTAATATATAATTAATCTCGATTAGTGCTAACCGACGTTGATGTAATCAGTCTTGAATCGTCCGGGACTGAAAGGTGATCGTGACAGCAGCACTAAAGTAGCAGTGAGTGATGATAACGGAGATAGGAAACAGGCGAACTTCGAATTAAGAACAAAACATGCCAAATGCATTTAAGTAGATTATTTTGTATCGAATGTTTACTAAGTCTAGTTATAGGAACTGCATGTAGATGAAGTATTTCGAGCGACACCCTTTCGGTTCCGCGACAGAGAGCGGAAATTTTGACAGGACTCATGTCAGCAAGAATGAATTTTACGGCAATCTTCAATGCTGATTTATATTTATTGCTTGCAAATCTCGTTTTAAATTACAGAAAACTTATCTTGCGTGATATATATTTTATAGGCTCGAAGATACACGATGTATTTTCTCTTAGAAAATGAAATGCACCGAAAGGGTTAAACTAGAAGGTAGAAAGACTAAGCTTTATTTACGAGAAGACTACATGCGATTAACGATTAGTGATTGGTATTAAAAGCAAGAATTTTTGTAATGAGAGACAAAGGGCGATGAATCGGGCGATTTTGAGATGCCGGACAAGCGCATAAACTTGCTCAAGGAAAGACGGGAAGATACTTATTTTTATAAAGAGATCGCGGAATTGTAGCAATAAAATATAACATTGGAAATTGACGAACAAGTGCATGCGCTACAAACAAAGAAAGATATCTATTATTAAAATTATTTTTGTAGGTGTTGATAAAGTGAAGGCAAGAACTGATGGTGCCACTTTTATCAAATTAGTGAAAAAAAAAAACATTTCTGGAAAGAAAATTGTGCTTATAATGTATCTAAATTTGGGACACAATAAAATTTGAGAAATTTTTTGAAACCTGAAGATGTTAAAAGTGACAAGAAGATAAAATTTCTCAACAATATTAAACGATAAATTTTTAAATTTCAAGATTCGGTCAGGTTTTGGCTTGACTTTATCAATTGAAAAAAATCGTCAAAATCGTCAGTTATTATAGCGTCGCGCCTTTTGTCACTTTCTGTCAATGCTGATTTGTGGTCTTTCCCTTGCTGCAACGATTCTCCGATAATTTTTGTAATGCGATCGTATGATGTCCATCAAACAAATTGTGTACATAATTGGAGCGATGTTGCGCTCGATTACTCGCGAAACGGTGGAAATAGTTGGCTACTGTGATTCGTTTGCTTGTCATTCATTTACTCGCGCTTTCCCCATCGCGGGGGATTCCGATTTCTAGAATTTATTCGCGAATTTGTTAGTAATCGGTAATTTAAAGTACTCTCATTTTTCTCGTTCCGTTGTTTTGTCCTTGATATCGTACTAATTGTAACACACCAATTTGCGCGCGTTTGTAGTTCGTAGGTTTTAAACGTGATTCATGCCAAATATTAAAATGCATTGACTAGCTATTTATATTATTATTATTATATTATACACGTATATATAAATATGGTATTCGTATGAAGGCAGGTTTCATGTCGACTTCATTCTCCGTCTGTGAATCAGCTACGTCTATTTTTTTGCTTGCGATTTGCAGTAATATTAACAAGAAAGTGCAACATCTCATGTCAGTTTTACAATGTTAATTTTTTGTGTTTATTCTATAAAAATATATCCGCACTATATATATAAACGATGAAACATTTTAATAAGTCTTAAAATTTATTAGATACTTTTCATTCAATGCCGATTAATCGTGCAATTAATCGGAATTTAGAGCGAAACGTATTTGAATTAATTTGTACTAATTTATGAAATAATTAATATATTATTGTTAAATGTTTTTCGTCTGTTTGAAATTTTGTTTGATATTAGAATTTTTAATAGAATTTACTTATTGCATTATTTCAGATTTTAATTTATCTAATTATCGCGTTTAATTATGCGAACTTTTTCTCTTATATTTTTCCTTAGCGTATATTAACAGACGAATAAATTGCAATATATATTATTTGTACAATCGATCGTATCGATTCAGTTATGCAATGCTCGGAGGCGCTGAAAGAATTTCCACTTTATTATTGTTCCAATTATTCAAGATTAATTCAAGATTAATTATTAAGCGGTACACATACACACCATCGTCATCATCATCACTATCATAAACGCACCCGCAAATATTTAATGTACTGCCACGAAGCTTATTATACTTATATTGGAAAATATAATTACGAAATTTCACATCCACCACGGCATTTCGAATCTCTATCTCACTTTCCAGGATTTCCGCATCGTTTTTTTCCTGCTATTTTTATTATTATTGTACGAGAGGTTTCTCATCTGAGGTATTTCAAACTTTTGTTTTCCCCGGGGCTATTAAAGATAGTGAAAAAATTTGTTGTGCGCGTCGGCGAGGGTAGTTCCTGTTCCGCAATCCCCCTCCATCACCCTTGTCCCACTACGGTCGTGCGGTGTGCCGCGCGCAGTCGGCGCTCGCCGCTCGTCGCCGTATGTTGCCGTTCGAACGTTGCGTAGCGCGCGATTCCGTCCTGATCTCACTCTCGCGTTTACATATCGAGTGCGAATTATCGTTCCCGCGACATATCCGTAACAGTGCGTATCTGTGCGACGGAAGCTGCGACACATATCAACGGCGTGTACCTGCGCACTCATCTGCGAAGAAGGGCCACATATCAACGACGTAGGACTCACGTAGGACTCACTCGTCGGTCAAGGAGCCGCGCTCAGATCAAGTAAGTCTTCAAATTTGCATGTCATAATTCATGAAACAATATATTAACGTAAAATGTTTTTCGCCCGTTTGAAATTTTGCTTGATACTTGAATTTTTAATAGAATTTTCTTATTGAATTTAAGATTTTATTTAAGATTGCAATTCATCGAATTATCGCGACGTAATTATGCGAATCTTTCCTCTTGCATTTTTGCCAGCGTACATGCGAATTGGTTTTTAATGTATGTACCGTATAATTATGTGAGAGAAATGCGATCTTCGAAGTAATTTGCTTGTCGACTAATCCTATCACGCGAAATATCATAAACCGCAGGATGGCAGTCGACTGAAGATCAAATTTGTATAGCATTTCAATTTTAGAAGTAAATAGCACGTTATTTACGTGGCACGACGAATACTGTTTACAACTATTTTATATATAATTTACTGATATTTATTTTGCTTCATTTAATTATATCGATCATTATACAATTATTAATCAACTAATCTTAAATAATTATTACAACTAAGACGCACTTACGACATCCAGTTGAAACGAAATATTAATGATTAATGATGTTTCTTGCAATCGCAATTTTTTAAATCTAAAATATGACATCTCTATCTCAGCATTTTGTAACAAAATATATCGCCACAATCTACAGTGTAGGAAATTATTTTTTTTATTATATAGAGTACATTGTTTCTTCCGACATTATGTTGACGCTACTCAGGTAAGATATTATCGCAGTTAACGCGTAATATTCTACGCGCGAGAACGTCAAATTTTCATGCCCAAACATTAATTTGCAGTATGTATGCGTGTATATCGCGTCATGTAATTTATATTCACCGAGTTTACGGGAAACTCACCCTTTCGGATTGGATGACGGCACGAGGTAACATAATAATCATAATCAAGAATGTCATGCGAGGGTACTAAATTACATGTTGGATTGTTCCTTTTTTCCGCAATGAAATTTATGCGACGAAAACGTATCAAATATCCACGTATTGTTTGTTTTAGGAATTTTATTCAGTAGAATTATTTTTAAAATTACACAGTTATAAAAAACTTGATTGTTGAAATCAAATTTTCATGATTTTCCTCAATAAGAGTCTAAATTCAAGTTGTATCTTAATTTGTCTTGCGATAATTCTTTTATCATATCAGATTTTAAAATCTTTAGTATATCTTTAATATATAAATTCTAGAGTTCTGTCTTTTAGAAGCTAAAAATATCAATTAAATTTTTTTATTAAAAATAAAGCCAAAAATAATCGATATACAATCGAGATATCCAACTTTTTTCATATTTACATTCACGTACGATTGAGAAGGACAATGATAACAAAAACATAATTGCGTGTTCATAAATTCTTTATACGCTTCTATTTGTGATCTTTTACTTTTCATAACCTATTCGCCAAAATTCGGTACAATAATTCTTGAAATAATTCTCGATCGATTTTAGCTTTCCTCATCATTCGCTGTTTCTCTCTCTCTCATAAAATCTTACCAACATTAGAATTTGTTTTTCGCGCGTTATTGGTTAAGATTATTGGTTATATATACGATGCGAAGTTTGTCGCCGGAATATAGCTGTTTCTTCGAATGTCCATTCGCGCCATTTGTCCCCCGCGACTCCAACCGCCATATTAAAGGTGAAACTCAAGTCGACTCTACGTGTTATGATTTATTGCCCGTTATTTTTCGTATTTGCGCGAGTTGCGACGGCAGACGTGTTCGATTTTCGGGAGTGATCGTAATAGAGAAACAAACGCGATAAGAATTACCATGTATATCTCGATTATATGCGCGGAAAATCGTCGTGAAATATCAACGTATCGTATCTTTGTCGGTCGTATGAAAGTTCGTGTTCGGGAGTAAAAGATCGCGAGAACGATTCCGCGAACTGTTTACGTCGGAACCGAGATTATGTTTTTGTTAGTTTCTCGTCAGTCGCGCGTATGTGCATGTATGAAACTTGATGAAACTTGAACGTAGACTTCAATTAAGGATGCATGCTGCGGTCGTCAACTATCAAGGTTAGGCTGTGGATGCTGTGTACATTCGATCGCAACCGCGGACCTCAGCCTTTGTGTTATTGTATAGCGTTTGCTCTTTGTCGGACAGCGTAGCATCATTTTTTTGCCGCGAACGGTGAGTGATATTTTTTCAGTCGCATTTCTTTACGCTCTCTGTGCTGAAAATGAGAAAGCAGCACGACAGAATTTTGTCATTGATATGTTCATCTTATTGTCTGTATGTTTATATATCTATCCTAAAATTTTTATGAGTAGCGAATTTGTAATTCTCTCAACAAATATTACAAAGTTTTTACAATGGCGTAGCAACGCAAAATTCATGTGTATAATTTGGCGTGGCAATCGCCACGTTTTCGCGGACATAGTGTCTATTTTATAATTGCAAAGGACACAAACCGTGAAAATAATTATAGTCATTGACTCCGCGTGGACGAAAAATTTTGTGATCAAAATTATTCACTGTATCGAAACACCTGGCGCGATTATTATCAGAGCGTAACAGTATTTCTGCAATGTATATGTTTGTTGTCGTTATCGCCGTTAGACTCCGCACTCAAACGCGCTGCTAATGATTGTTTTGTACACATTACGTCACAAGGACGTTTCCCCGAGGTCTTTCGAAATGTTACATACTCGACTTTGTATCAATTTATGCTGTACGCGGATTTAACGCTCGTTTGTCGGCAATTACGGCAACGAGTTCTTCTAGTTTCTCGTGGAATGTCTATAAAAAATTTTTATACGAATTGTTATTTAAATATTATAGTGATTATATATACACGATTCTTTAATTGATTTAAAAATTTTACCAAAATTAGCTGCTAAAATTATTGAAACTTATTTCAGGATTGTTTTATAAAAATTTCTGAATTTATAGAGAGAAATATTTTATTTGTCTGGAAATTTATTGAAATATTATTCTTAAATTTATCTGCCTTTAATCATTCTTGGACAGAGACAATTTATAAGGATGAAAATAACTTTATAAGAGTTGCTTGATTTTTATGTGTTGTTTCACGAGTCATATAATCTTATGCAATATTACATGCAATGTTGTGATTCGATCACCTGATTTTAAGTTTTTTTATATTATTAATCATTGAATTGTATACATTATACGTTATCTTTTTTATTTTCTCATTTTTATTCGAGCAAATTTTTATGCTTGTTCTTTAATTTTCGATAAATTTATTAAAAAATTGCCGAATACAAGGTTGTGAAAGTACTAATTACTCTGAAGTTTCGTCAAAAAAAGCTGTATCAGGCAATTTGTTTTCTTTATTGCTGGAAAGTAGACATCTTTACGTATCGTCTCTTCGTGTAATTAAGCAACTGAGAGAAGCGATGCGACTGCCAAATTTGGCAATTCCTGGCTCTGATGTACTACATGGTTACATAATGTCTGCACAAGCGTGCATACTTGAGCCTGAAGCGTTGAATGCATTACGCATGTTGAATTTATTTATCATATTTATTTTTTCGCAATTGCTTTTTTGAAAAAATATCTAGTTCCGCAAAATACATAGATTAAAAATATAACGCATAGATAGTTCGTAATTAAATTAAAATTTAATTGAAAATACTGCAAGTTATAAACATTTATAAATAATTATTACAGCGTTTTTTATTTATGCAGAAATAATATAATAAAATTAAATAAAGAAACAAATTTTGTACAAATTAGGATTACATTTGTTGTAGTTAATAAAATCAAAATTTAAAGTGCATTTCAAATTTGCACGTTACATACAAATGTAATAATAACTAAATTAATTAGTGTAACAATGTTCGTGTTTTCGTTTTTAATTTTAATGTGAAGTTAATTATTTAAACAAATTTTCTAAAATTTGCAAATTATAGACGCGCAAATTCTAGTTTTTAATTGACTCGAAAAGAAAAAGAAAATCTTTT